TTTAGTCCAGGAATATATGTAAAAAGTGGCAGTTGGTGTAACTAGCGAAGTGAAGTGAAGCAGGAAACCGAGATCATGTCTGAGACTAGAGTTGTTTGTCTGAGACTTGAGTTGTTTGTCTGAGACAAGAGTTGTTTGTCTGAGACTAGCGTTGTTTGTCTAGACAAGAGTTGTTTGTCTGAGACTTGAGTTGTTTGTTTGAGACTTGAGTTTTTTGTCTGAGACTTGAGGTTTTTGTTTGAGACTAGAGTTGTTTATCTGAGACTAGATTTATTTGTATGATACTAGAGTTGCTTGTCTGAGACTAGAGTTGCTTGTCTGAGACTAGAGTTGTTTGTCTGATACTAGAGTTGCTTGTCTGAGACTAGAGTTGTTTGTCTGAGACTAGAGCTGTTTGTCTGAGACTAGATGTGTTTGTCTGAGACTAGAGCTGTTTGTCTGAGACTAGATGTGTTTGTCTGAGGGTAGAGTTGTTTGTCTGAGACTAGAGTTGTTTGTCTGAGACTTGAGCTTTTTGTTTGAGACTTGAGTTGTTTGTCTGAGACTTGAGTTTTTTGTCTGAGACTTGAGGTTTTTGTTTGAGACTAGAGTTGTTTATCTGAGACTAGAGTTGTTTGTATGATACTAGAGTTGCTTGTCTGAGACTAGAGTTGTTTGTCTTAGACTAGAGTTGTTTGTCTGAGACTAGAGTTGCTTGTCTGAGACTAGAGTTGTTTGTCTGATACTAGAGTTGCTTGTCTGAGACTAGAGTTGTTTGTCTGAGACTAGAGCTGTTTGTCTGAGACTNGCCTTGGGTATCCCCGGTGGTCGTCGTTCCCAAAGGTCAGTCAGACATTAGACTTTGTGTGGATATAAGGCGGGCTAATGAGGCCATAATTCGAGAACGTCACCCAATACCAACTGTTGAGGAAGTCCTCTATGATCTAAACCAGAGTACGGTGTTTAGCAAATTAGACATAAAATGGGCTTTTCATCAGATTGAACTGTCTGATAAATCTCGATCAATCACAACATTTGTTACGCACAAAGGACTCTTCNCTAGAGTTGCTTGTCTGAGACTAGAGTTGTTTGTCTGAGACTAGAGTTACTTGTCTGAGACTAGAGTTGTTTGTCTGAGACTAGAGTTGTTTGTATGATACTAGAGTTGTTTGTTTGAGACTAGAGTTGTTTGTATGTGACTAGAGTTGCTTGTCTGAGACTAGCGTTGTTTGTCTGAGACTAGAGTTGTTTGTCTGAGACTGGAGTTGCTCGCGCAAGTCATTGTCTGGTTGGTGTCGACCATATGGCTAATTAATCAGAGAAGGGTCAAAGTGATCGTGTCTAACTTTACAATGCGTTTCGGACCATAACTCGTCTCATCATTCTCCCGCAAATAAAAGAATGGAATCTGTTTGGGTGTCCATTACATTAATAACTATTTACCATTATGTTGTTTTGTCTGAAAAGTGACATTGATCGCAGGAGTTTTGTACACATGCGCGAACAGGCTAGAAACATGCCAATGATTATCATATATGTGCATTCCTGAATCGACGTACGTATGTAGTGAAAACTGAAGTTAGTAAAATGTTCAAATGACCAAACTAATGACATATATTTCCCTGGGATAGATCACATTTAGTAATGAAGCGATGAGAGTTCACTACATGGATACTGCTGGAGTACATCACGTGATTAGTATTTTATCCTTTGTAATCTATTTCGATTTACATGTAAAACGAAAAATGATAGCCGCAGGAAGATATCTGCCTCTATAGCCATATCCACGTTTAACACAGTTTTCATTATACATTGTAGATGTACATGCAATTCTAAAATCGTTTACTCTATATTATAATACATACAAATTAAAGTACAAAGTATGCGTGCAAGGTTGATTACCTTAAACACACCTATATATCTAGTGGTCTTTAAATCGATTTACCTGGTAATAGGATTGTGTCACCATTTCTCAGCAGAATTTATTCAAATTTTGTAGTTATATTGCTTTGAAGTAAAGAAAATTTTCTGCCACAAAAAAAATATAGGTTGTCAGAATTTTAACGATTTTAAATGGAAATTTCTGTAAAAAGGAGTGAATTTGGAAAAAAAAATTGAAACACACAATTTTGTGCAAGATAATGTCAATAAAAATGATACTAACATAGATTAGTATTGCATTAATGTATATCAATTTCATAAATACTGAAATTGTGTAAAATTATTTATCTATAGACGATTAAAAATTGATATTTTATAATAAAACCATATACACATAGTAATTGCATGCAAGAATTATCGTTCTTGAAAAACTTCACAGTAGTGAAATAGGTAGCCGGTTTCCTGAAGTACAGAAAAATGGACACATGTGACTCATTGATTAAAAAACAACTGAATTAATGCCTGGATTGCTTTGCAATATTTTAATATTGAAAGAACACACTGTTCTGTCAATAATAAGCATACAATATTCATCACTTTAATATTAAACATTAGATTATGCGGAAAATGTGATACTGTCTCCCTACATTGGATTTTCAACTAGGGATGTAGTTCCTATTTCCGTTTAGCAATACACTCGTATGACATGGACTTACTCAAGTCCTATTTCTACAGAATTAACACATGGACCCTTTGTTTTGGACTATTTCTCAACCAAATATTTATCGATTATGATTTATAAGCAAATTGACATACGCAAAGGGGTATGTGGCATTGCTTGTAGTTCCATAGTTATGTTCTTTACCGCTAAACAAAGCAGTTTGTACATCAAAACAACCAATATGAACATACAAGTTTTGTCATCATATCTTCATTTTTATGCATAATAATATTGTTACAACATATCTAAATACATATTGACTGATTTCTGTGGTGTTAATGCCCGGTATAACGATAATGATCTAGAGCGGAACAACACACATGCACACCTTTAGAATTTGGTGATGTGACCCAGATACTATTGTAAACAAGTACAAGTAATATCAGCGAGTCAACATGAAACCATCCTCGATTTCCAGGGGTTGCAATCAACTACGCTCTCTACAGAGAAAGCGAGCGTGCGCAATGATCAGAATCAGAAATTAAACAATAAAATATTTAAAATACAGTAATCAATGATTTTTATCACGGTTCATGTCATCAGGGGGGATATCGAGGATGACATGAACCGTGATAAAAATCATTGATTACTGTATTTTAAATATTTTATTGTTTAATTTCTGATTCTGATCATTCTAACTACACATTTGACAATGAAATTGATTGGCACTTCTGCTTGTTGTGTCATGGTTTCGTGCACAACTGTAGGCTTTTTCAATGGTACAGGCTATATACTGTGGTGGTTATTCGGTCATCGTAATTATATGTAATACAATACAATATGATGTCATAAATGTAAGGTAATATAAATTTATTTATAATCAACCCTCAAAATATCCCTCCACAATCCAAGATGGCGGCTTACTTAGACAATGAGGGAAAACAAATCCCTATAGAGCTGTCATAGACTACTCAAGTCATGTTATTGTTAGTTTGTATTTTACTAAATCAGCTCTCTCTTGTTACCCTATACCTTTTGTCCTGTTACTACATTAATTCATAACATGTTTTTGTTTATTTGGAATCAACTTTCGAATATAAGGGACAATTCCTTGTGGGTTTCCGTTCAATAATGCGTACACCTTTGAAGCTGTATCGTTGAAAAGGTGATATAACATTTGAGAATACCATGTATTGTTGATGATATTGTAACCAAGTGTTAATATACGTGTCATAGCATGCTTCCTAAACACCAGGAGACGTACATGCTGTTATTGATTAGCATGACCTTGCGCCCAAGTTATCATAAATTACATAATCGTCACCTTCTAAAATTTATGTTCGATAAGATTTAAAATAGACACCAAATCATTGGTTGAGTCAAAGATTCCATTATGTTTCAAGAAGGCACATATCAGACCATTGTTAAAGAAGGCTGGAATGGACAAGGAGGAGTTGAAAAACTACTTATTATAATAAGTAACTGCCTCAGTGAGTACGTCTACGAGTATGTACAATATCTCCCTAGGTAACAATTAAGTATAGCAGTAATTTTGAAAACTAAATCAATGTCCTTACCATACCTAGATTAGCAGAGTGACAAGTCCCGCGCTCCTAATATTGGTTGGCAACATCACGACATTTTGTGTGACATATAAGATGAAGATGTATTTATAAACTGCAGCATTTATATAAAGAGTAGGATTGGGTTTAAACATTTATATTATATTTCGATATAATATGCCTTTAGTCCACCAAAGTTCATATCATCATCATCATCATCATCATCATCATCATCATCATCATCATTATCATCATCATCATCATCATCATCATCATCATCATATAAATATATAAACTTTATTTATTTTACAAAAATCAATTATGAGACAAGTTATTTCAACTTATATTAATCACTCTTGTTGGCCCGGATTTTAGCGCGCAAAGTGTCTTAATGTGGGAGGGAACCGGTGAATACCCGGAGAAAACCCACATGATCGGGCAGGTGACCCCATACCTATTACCGTCCGATCGGAATCGAACCCCGGCTGCCTTGGTGAAAGGCAAACGCGCTATCCACTGTGTCACCAAACCACCGTTGACAAAGCTTGATAAAGGGACCAGTCGGTCTAGAAACATTGCGACACGTCTAATACGTACAGTGTTTGGGTATAAAGTAAAACTTTGATATCACATACTTCCAAACTGATAAATCTTATTGAAAAAATAAAATAATTATCATCAAAAATACAAGTGTCAAACGTAGAATCTAAGCTGTAATAAAGGTCACGTGTGTTCCTTCGCCTGTTATAAAAGGGAATATTCTCGAAATCGTGAAAGCATTTGAACTCTTCTTGTAACTGGTATCTTGGTATCCATTACTTTAAGTGCTAATACGTTAGTTTATATCGTTTTTGCCACAAATGTCATTTCACATTGTGGAGCCACATTATTACAAGTATTTATGCTACTGTACTTACCTTGCAAGCTGTTATCCAAGCACATGCGGCACACAGTCGTTCTCATAAAATGTACCTGTTATAGGCCTGTACAACAACATGTGTGACATTTAAAATGTCGGTCGAGCATATCACAAATGTTTATCTGTATATATGTAAACACAACTTGTACAAGCAAACCTTAAATTTTATCAATACAGACAGAGAGGATAACGATAGACTATAGGTTTATACCTACTGTTATATAGTTAGGATTGCGACTTATGTCGGTGGATCTCCTAGTATGTGATCAGTAAACTATGAAACCGTTCTGCTTCTGTCACCTTGAGGTGTGTTAGCTATTCAGATACACAAACAAGTATATACGTACCTTATTATTAGATGGCGTGTGTATGTGTGTGTGCGCTATATAATATGTGCGTTGAATCATTATCACGTTGGTACCCTTGAGAACAAACGAGTTTATCATTACAATGTATATACCCATACCCTATTATATACCCCCTGTCTTGTATGAGTATTGTATATTTATAGCATCCATGCTATTTTTGAAGAAAGGAAAAAACATGTAGGTGTCATGGGCTAAATGTGTTGGGGCTCGATTTTGTGAAGGGAATATAAAAATACGTCATTCGTCTTCTGTCACTCTTTTTATGCTCTTTCTTCTATATCCTTCCTGGAGAGTTCACAAACATAATACAAAGTAATTGTAATTACAGAGTTACCTCCCTTGCACTATACTCATCACATTGTATGGTTCACATATAATATAGCATTTATAAATCATCCCCCAGCAAATAAAAATTGGACCACAATTTTTGATAAACCATACAAATGTGTGTAAAAAAATGAAATGAAGATAAATTGTAGCATTATCAAGGAGCTTAATAAGAGCTTCGCTCTTTAATGGTAACACATGCTTGCGTAAACAGAGTTGCTTCCCCTTACTACACCTTGCCTTTAATTTCTTTCGACCGGAAGTAGACGTCCAGCGGGGAACCAGGAAGTGTATCCTTTAAGCAAAGACAATTGTGTTTCAACCCATGCATGAATAACTTCATATAGTGAAAACAATCTTCATGTCTTATTACTTGTTTATTTATATAAAAACTAATATACATTCTGAGTGAAAAAAAATGTGATACTAACAGGCATGTAACTTCGTTCAGAGATTATCATACTTTATCACATTCTACTGCAAAATGCCTACCCCTGAGATATGTCGCACACTCCAGAACAGCATATACAATTCCGAGGAGCTCAAGCTTGGTTGGTCTATAACACTGTTGTTGTTGTTGTATTTTATTAAGGCCTTTTGAACCGAACAACACGTGCAACATTGTTGTCATGTATTTGGTAGAGCATGTAGCCTGTTACACGTCTGGATGTATCTACAGCAAATCGGAATGGCAAGTCAAAATTTGGGAAAACTAACACTTTAGAATTTAACAACTGGGACTTCAGGATGTCAAATGCTGTTTGATGTATCCACTGAAAGCGCACTCATTTTTTTAGTAAATTGTTCAAAGGATATGCTGTTTCACTAAATCGTGGAATATTATTGCTAAAAAATTGAACAATCCCAAAGCTCGCTTAAGCTCCTTCTGTGAATTTGGTGTTTGGTATTTACGAATCGCAGTTAACCTCTTGGGAGGTGCACGTATTCCCTAATGCGAGATATCATGACCTAAGAAAACACACTTACGAGCAAACAGGCACTTTTAATCCAGCTGTCAAAAATTGTGAAAAAACCCTCTTGTATATTGTTCAAATAAGGACATCGTCAAAATAGCACAAAACAGATTTAAAAGTAAGTTCATTCTGAACCGTGTCCATCAATAGTTGGAAACTAAGACTCATTGGGAGTCGAGCAAATTTGTAAGTTCTAAAACAAGTGTTGAAGGCTGTACATTTCGCACACTCATGACCTGTAAAAATCCAGAGCTCATGTCAATAGAGGTAATACAGTTGGGAGAACTGTTGGTAAATTATACCGTCAACCCTGAATATTTGGTATCGTGTAACGAAATGGTTGTGTTTGGGAATTCAAGAAGCGAAAATCACAACAGAACCGATAGGACGAGAAGTGTGAGGCCTTTACGTTCTTGGAGTCAGAATTCTGATTCCTTTTTGGTTTTGAAACTAAAACAATTGGGCTTGAAATTGTGATATCCTCTGGGCAATAACACCTTGTTTCAATACCTCGTCTAATTGTGAACGCAAAACCTCACTCTTCTCAGGTGGTAAACGACAAGGTTGGTGGTGTTTAGACACAGCATTTGGTTTCAAGTGTATAACATGTTCAACAACATCAGTAAACCCTAACGATGGGTTTTACTGGGTAACAAACACATCTTTTTTTCTCTACAAACTTATCAAACTTACTGTCACTTGGATTTCCAGTACTTTTAGTACTTTGATTACAACTAACATCACTGTCAATTAAACGAGCATCATCTACAATATTATGTATATCATCATTATCATGTTTATCAAAATGTTATATTTACATTTGCGCTGCAACCCACTATATGAATATTACCAACAGAAATGGTTTTTATTCGAGTAAGACATCACAATTTCTCGTGACGTAACACGTGGTGTACTTATGACGTGATATAACAACCTTGCTCTTATTACTTCGTTTTAGATAACATGGAGAATGCTCCAGCGTCAAACGTTCAAATAAATTCGGTTAATTTTTGGCGCCATATCATTTAAGTAGGACTGTTGCGTCAATGTCGTTTAAAGGACGACGAATATACAAAACGCAGTAAATAAATAAATTATTTAAGAACAAATAAATAAAACTAAACAATTGTACGAAAGTTAAAACTTAAATATATGAATTGAACGGCGTTTTTAAAATTTTCATGCCGGTATGAACGCAAATCGGTTACATTCAAATACAACATGAAACCCTGGCGGGCTTCATGCAATATGGATGTAACCGGTTTGCGTTCATACCGGCATGAACATTAAAAATACGCCATTCAATCCCTTTCAACTTTCACTGACTTACTAGACATGTCCATGTTTCCAGAACAATTTGAGTAATTTGTTACACCATTGACACTAGTACAGTTCTGTTGCAATTTAAATTATGTACATTTTGCGAAACACAAGTAACATTGTTAAATTCAAAACTATTGACAGATTGTGAAACATGTGTGTTATTTAGATACTGATCACCAGGTAATATCTGGTGTGAGCCATCTCATAATTCAATATATTGTGTGAGCCATCTAATAATTAAAGGTTTGCCAAAACTGTACCCATACGTACTGAAATTTGGATAGGGCTCGGGTTCAAAATGTTCACAGGTATCAATCTTGATATATGTACAGTAACAACTGACCTAGCAATCAAAAAACCTTTCTTTTGGGCATGCTTACTGCCAGTACCTTGTAATCATATTTGTTAGCCCTAAGGTAGCTAACATGAAACAATACATTCAGAATTAGCATTGATGCTGAGTTCAGATTTACACTTTATTTTAAGTCTGCTTGTACCATAATTATTTGCACCAAAATCCAACACAATATTGTGCTTTGACATAAATGCAGAACCAATAATGAGAGGATGTGAGGTATTTAACAATATATACACTTTAAAATTACAATGACCATATGGCGTGTGAACATTCACCTTTGCTGTACCTTTGAGACTTGAGTCTGCTACTTTAACTGTAGATGATGTTCTCTGAATCTGTGTGTTACAACCTCTTGGTAATAAATTAAAAAATGACTCTGAAATTACATTAATATTGCACCCAGAGTCTAACAATGCTTGATATTTGATACTTGAAATATGACTACTAATGCTACTGTTCATGTAATATTTGCCACATGTTGGCGCTCTGGAGGTTTATCACGAATACGTTTTACAGTTAATGTTTGTCTCACAAGAGGCTGCGATTTCCTCTCGGAACTTTCACATTCCCTGGTGCTGGTTGTTCCTTGCATTCCCTGGTGGGGGCAGTTATACATGTTACCAGGTGGCGAGTTGTTCATCATGTTACCTAGGTATGGCACGTGACCTGGAGGGTTTATGTATGGCATGCTTCCAGATGGGGTAATGTTCATCATGTTACCTAGGTATGGCACGGGACCTGGAGGGTTGGTGTATGGCATGCTTCCAGATGGGGTAATGTTCATCATGTTGCCTAGGTATGGCACGTGACCTGGAGGGTTGATGGATGGTATGCTTTCAGATGGGGTAATGTTCATCATGTTACCTAGGTCTGGCACGTGACCTGGAGGGTTGGTGTTTGGTGTGCTTCCAGATTGGGTCATGTTCATCATGTTACCTGGGTATGGCACGTGACCTGGAGGGTTGGTGTTTGGCATGCTTCCAGATGGGGTCATGTTCATCATGTTACCTAGGTATGGCACGTGACCTGGAGGGTTGGTGTTTGGAGTGCTTCCAGATTGGGTCATGTTCATCATGTTACCTAGGTATGGCACGTGACCTGGAGGGTTGGGGTTTGGAATGCTTCCAGATTGGGTCATGTTCATCATGTTACCTGGGTATGGCACGTGACCTGGAGGGTTGGTGTTTGGCATGCTTCCAGATTGGGTCATGTTCATCATGTTACCTAGGTTTGGCACGTGACCTGGAGGGTTGGTGTATGGCATGCCTCCAGATGGGGTAATGTTCATCATGTTACCTAGGTTTGGCACGTGACCTGGAGGGTTGGTGTATGGCATGCCTCCAGATGGGGTAATGTTCATCATGTTACCTAGGTATGGCACGGGACCTGGAGGGTTGGTGTATGGCATGCTTCCAGATTGGGTCATGTTCATCATGTTACCTGGGTATGGCACGTGACCTGGAGGGTTGGTGTTTGGTATGCTTCCAGATTGGGTCATGTTCATCATGTTACCTAGGTATGGCACGTGACCTGGAGGGTTGATGGATAGCATGCTTTCAGATGGCGTAATGTTCATCATGTTACCTAGGTATGGCACGTGACCTGGAGTGTTGGTGTATGGCATGCTTCCAGATGTGGTAATGTTCATCATGTTACCTATGTATGGCACGTGACCTGGCGGGTTGGTGTATGGCATGCTTCCAGATGGGGTATTGTTCATTATGTTACCTAGGTATGGCACGTGACCTTGAGGGTTGGTGCATGGCATGCTTCCAGCTGGGGTAATGTTCATCATGTTACCTATTTATGGCACGTGACCTGGAGGGTTGGGGTATGGCATGCTTCCAGATGGGGTATTGTTCATTATGTTACCTAGGTATGGCACGTGACCCGGAGGGTTGGTGTATGGCATGCTTCGCGATGGGGTAATGTTCATCATGTTACGTAGGTATGGCACGTGACCTGGAGGGTTTATGTATGGCATGCTTCCAGATGGGGTATTGTTCATTATGTTACCTAGGTATGGCACGTGACCTTGAGGGTTGGTGTATGGCATGCTTCCAGATGTGGTAATGTTCATCATGTTACCTAGGAATGGCACGTGGCCTGGAGGGTTGGTGTATGGCATGCTTGCAGATGGGGTAATGTTCATCATGTTGCCTAGGTATGGCACGTGACCTGGAGTGTTGGTGTATGGCATGCTTCCAGATGTGGTAATGTTCATCATGTTACCTATGTATGGCACGTGACCTGGAGGGGTGGTGTTTGGTATGCTTCCAGATTGGGTTATGTTCATCATGTTACCTAGGTATGGCACGTGAACTGGAGGGTTGGTGCATGCATTGCTGTGTGGTAAGTCAGTATACTTCCTTCACTTGATAGCCAAGTGTCTATAGTGGTCACAAAGTTGGCACTGGGCATAAGTTCCTCGTTCGTCCTCACCGTTCCAGTTATATTTGGCCTCGATATGTGGGGTAATGTTCTTCATGTTACCTAGGTATGGCACGTGGCCTGGAGGGTTGGTGTTTGGTATGCTGCCAGATTGGGTCATGTTCATCATGTTACCTAGGTATAGCACGTGACCTGGAGGGTTGGTGTTTGGCATGCTTCCAGATTGGGTCATGTTCATCATGTTACCTATGTATGGCACGTGACCTGGAGGGTTGATGGATAGCATGCTTTCAGATTGGGTAATGTTCATCATGTTACCTAGGAATGGCACGTGGCCTGGAGGGTTGGTGTATGGCATGCTTCCCGATGGGGTAATGTTCATCATGTTACGTAGGTATGGCACGTGACCTGGAGGGATGGTGTATGGCATGCCTCCAGATGGGGTAGTGTTCATGATGTTACCTAGGTATGGCACGTGTCCTGGAGGGTTGGTGTATGGCATGCATCCAGATGGGGTAATGTTCATCATGTTGCCTAGGTATGGCACGTGACCTGGAGGGATGGTGTATGGCATGCTTCCAGATGGGGAAATGTTCATCATGTTACCTAGGTATTCCCTGGTGCTGGTTGTTCCTTGCATTCCCTGGTGGGGGCAGTTATACATGTTACCAGGTGGCGAGTTGTTCATCATGTTACCTAGGTATGGCACGGTACCTGGCGGGTTGGTGTATGGCATGCTTCCAGGTGGGGCAATGTTCATCATGTTACCTAGGTATTCCCTGGTGCTGGTTGTTCCTTGCACTCCCTGGTGGGGGCAGTTATACATGTTACCAGGTGGCGAGTTGTTCATCATGTTACCTAGGTATGGCCCGTGACCTGGAGGGTTGGTGTATGGAATGCTTCAAGATGGGGTAATGTTCATCGTGTTACCTAGGTTTGGCACGTGACCTGGAGGGGTGGTGTATGGCATGCTTCCAGATGGGGGAATGTTCATCATGTTACCTAGGTATGGCACGTGACCTGGAGGGTTGGTGCATGCATTGCTGTGTGGTAAGTCAGTATACTACCTTCACTTGATAGCCAAGTGTCTATAGTGGTCACAAAGTTGGCACTGGGCATAAGTTACTCGTTCGTCCTCACCGTTCCAGTTACATTTGGCCTCGATATGGCCTGGTCCATGGCCTGTTTTATTAAATTTAGGTCCGTCTTGATTACGCAAAATAGACATAGGTTGAGGTGCAGGTATGTGTACATGTTGTCGCTCCATCATACCAATCAGATTCTCAGATCCTGTAGACCGGTATGTTGTCAATCAGTCCTGGAAACGCTGTCACTACTGGTGTCTGGATATCACATCTGTAGCCGCATGTTTCGCCAAGTCTAGCTTGGGTCAGGGCTGTCATATTGTCATTTGATGTCCCGGCAAGGACAAAAAACTATGATTGTTCAGGCTAACCACTGATATATCTTCCAAGTACCTCATACTGCACTGTGGAAATCTTCTAATGGTTGGCCAGAAAGCAATTTCAGATTTGAAAAGTTCTTCATTTCCAGGAACAGTGTTAGGCTTTGACCATTCCCAATATAATAGCGTGTTTTAAATTTTTAAATAATATTAGACCATGTCTTGTCCTATAATGAGTGAAGAAGTTTGGAAACACCAGGAATTGTGATATTGAGGTCTGACATATAGTTTGCAGGCTTTTGTGAGGAATAGAGGTCAAGTTCACAGAGATGATATAGTTTGAGTGGGACTGGGTTGGTAAAGACAGAGTGGAATTGTCTGTTTAGTGTTTCTGCTTGGGATTTTGGGTCGGAGTATGTTATTCCCTCGACCTTGAGTGGTGATACCCCAAATTTTTCAGATTTCCAGGACCAGATTTGTCAATTTTTTCAGAGTCGTCGATTACAATTGATTCCACGTATGCCCAATAACTTTGCCGTATTTTTCTTTGAATTTCTGTTTGGACAAATTTCATTTCCTGATGTAGGTTTGATTGGTGTGCCAATGAAGTGCTCTTAATTTTCTTATAAAGTTTGTCACGTTTTCTGATAATTAGTTTTATATCTATATTTATCCAGGGCAGGTAATCCTTTGATTTGGTCATTTTTGTTGGGGCATGAAATTGGATACACTATTTAGTTTAGTTTTTATGATTTATCATTTAGATTCTGTTGTGGAATTTTGGGTGTATGACAGGCATATAGCAGTGACATAAATTAGTTCAGTCTTAATGGCATCCCAGTCAGCTTGGTTGTATAGCTTTATTTGGCCTGGTTGTTTCCGTTGTCGGCCAAAAGTGACAAGGATTTCATGAAATACTATGTCTTGATAAGTTCCAAGACTCGGTAGGGTTCTAGTTTCGTGGACAAGAAATGGCTGATTGAGAAAGATGAGATCAAGTGTATTCTCTTTACGAGTAGGTATTTTTACAACTTGTTCAAGGTTGTGATTTTCTATGATGGTAAGGAAGTCAGAATAAGGGGCATTTCTAGAGACATGTTGGAGGTCCAGGTCCAGTTGTGCAGTGCTATCAGGGTCAGTTCCCCTTGGTTTATAGAAGGCAGCAGGTTTTAGTCAAGACTCGGTCCCTACTATTATATCAGGTTTTAGTTGGTTTAGTTGACGTGATGGAACTCAGGGACCTTATTTTTAATTAACTGACAGTTGATGTTAATTATGGTGAGTCGTTAGGACCTTTTCGGTTTTCTTTTATTTGTTGTTTAGTTTAGAGTTGTTGTGAGGGGTAGATGTAGCTTTGGGATGATCACTAATATTAGAACAGGTGGAAGGGTGAAGTGATTCATATTTGGTTGTGTCTGACAAGGTGTCCAGTGAGACAAACAAGCCCCCAGAGTAGTTTTGAAGGGCACACCGAAGGCACTACCACGAGTAACGACTGTCTGATAGCCTGTCGTATGTTAGACTATCTATCCCTTGACATGATATATGGTGCCATTGTTAACAGTTGTCACATATAATGCCTTTGTCGCTACATGAAACTTCCTTGTGACAGTAACCGCTTCCATATATAGAATTCTTTTCAGTGCCAGGTCCAGGGTTCGGATTTATGTCTGGGGATTGGCAAATTATTGTAAGAAATAGGCAGAGGAGTACGGTCTGGCTCCTTTATTTGGAGTATGTTTTATCTTTGCTAAATGGGCAAAATATATGCTTTTAACTGTGAATAGGTTACTATTGAGTTTGATACTATGTGATGGATGGAGTGACGGTAATACTAGTGTTATTGTCGAGGTTTCATTGGAGGAGGTCATGTTTAAGGAATTCAGTGGTCTGGGTGTATGACAAGGCACAGTAATATGACGAGAATAAGATCCGTCGCAAGTGGTACGTGCTCGAGCATGAGGGGTGAGGACGAAACAGACAGACATGCAAATGGTTAGTGATAACGATGATTATATTCTTCGTCCTATGTGCGTCCCAAAGGCACTTAATGATGCAAAACGCAAATGAAGCAATGTCAGTGATATGATAAAAGCAGCAAAGGCAAAAAACGAAATTCGTAACTGGAAGTGCACACAAATTTAGTGGAGACTGGTATATTTTGGCAAATGCGTTTCAAAACGGGCAAAAAAAAAATGGCTAAAATTGGAGCGTCGTGGGAAGTTTGATGATTATCATAATTTTGCCTTAGTTTTGAGTGAAAAATTTGGAATACAAGAATAAAATGTGAAAAATCGAGCTGAGGTATGGCACATTGGTATAACACGGGGTGGAAATATGGAGTGAAATTTAATGGGATTCCAAACAATGTATCCGTCAAAACACCCAAGGATGATTAATCTATGACTAGGGGAGTATCACACCTGTCTATTTTTCATCATATAGAACTCATGTGCGTGGTAATGGCCTGATCGCCATTTCCCGCTATAACACACGTGCTCTCATGATCAGTTCAGCATGCATGAAACAATATTCAATGTTCATCAAAATTGTTTGCCACTGGCGACTTGATTCGACGCTCCTTTTATTTCCGAGAAATCTTTTCAATCTTACAACTTCAGATTCTCCACCATGTCATGGGTTAAATGTGTTGGGGCTCGCTTTGTTTAGGGAATATACAAACACGTCATTCGTCTTCTGTCTCTTTTTTTATTCTCTTTGTTCACAAACATAATACAAAGTAATTGTAAATACGGAGTTACCTCCATTGCGCTATAAGAGAGAGAGAGAGAGAGAGAGAGAGAGAGAGAGAGAGAGAGAGAGAGA